TAATAAGAAAAGAAGGGGGAGATGTGGGAAGAGCTCAGGAGATTTATCTCAGTGCTGCGGCAGATGCAATGGCGTGAGCACACTCCGCCTGCACAAGCTTCCTCGGCACACCAGGAAGTGGCATCGCCCGCCTGAGCAGACCCCCTAGAGCCCCTACATAGTACCCTGATCTTTCCTACTATTGGTTGCCCTATGGATGTTGTAAACTTCTGATTGGTCTGGAATGTTATATATGTTGCTGCACTCACACAATAAACTTGGACCTGCGTCACTGAACCTGGTCTCCGGAGTCCGGCATGCTTTGTTAGGACTCCGTCGGCCTCACCCCCGAGGGACCCCCTGCTTCATTTACAATGTATCCTTTTTCTTTGAGGACTTGATTTATGCTAAGATAATTTAGTAAGACGTCTAGAGCTCTAAGCTTTTGTTATTATATATACTTTTTTACATGGAAGTTATCATTGAACCTCCAGGAAGTCTTTCTTCCCACACTCGGTGAGATTTTAGCTGACTGGCAGGATTTAAGGTTGCCACCTGAGCAGGTCGTCTCCTAATTAAGCATGCCCCATACCCTTTTTCCTCCAGCTGACTGCCTTGGTAAGATCATGGCAAGTTCCTTGAAAATTCTCATGGAAAACCATGGAAGCAGTCCCATCTGAACAGCAGCTGTCACATTGTGTGGGGGAAGAGCAGGTAACAGTGGAGAAGTCCCCTGACAAACCTGGTGTGATAGACTAAGGGCCCACTAGGTTTATCCCCATCGATGGTGCCCACCATTACTGCAGAAATAAGAGTAGACCTCTGTGACTTGGCTCTGTAGATGATTGTGGGAATGTAGACAAACCCCACATAAAACTAACCAAGAAGGTTTGTTCAGATTTTTTGCTTTTGTTTTTAATTAGATGAGCAGGGAAAGAGGGAAATTCTCCTTTGCAAAGCTGTGGTTATCTCATGATATTTGGAAGAATATAATAAGAGTGTTTAGATATAGTCACTCACTTTCAACAAATATTTAATGTGTCCCATCAAATGCTAGATGCTCACCTAGGCACTTAAGACACATGGCATATAATATGTAAAGATGAATGGTGTTCAGTAAGTGAAGTATGGAAAACTGAAGGAAAGCCTAGAACTGTGTAATAGGGGTGTGATATGTGCAAACTGACCTGGTGTGCTAGGGAAATAGATCTGTTTTTGAGAAAAATAAGTCTGGAAGGCCAACAATGCCAGTGGTGGTGGGGGTAGAGGGGTGGGGGACATATAGGAGGCACTGGGGCAGAGAACCCAGGTCTAGATAGGAGGTTATAATAAAAGGTTAGGCAAAGACAAGAGCTAAATAAAAAGGGGACTCGAACAAGGCGATGTTTAGGAAGTAAAGTCAGGATGACCTAGAGACCAATTGCCTGTACACTTGACCTTTTGTTCAAATATACATGTACCTTGTTTTGCCCCCTGCACACCTTCATGTGTATATCATGGGCACACAGTACTGCGGTTGTTTGCTTACATGTCTGTCTCACAATTAGCTAGGTGCTTCTTGTGGACTGGATCCTTTTCTTAGTCATCTTTCTATCCTCCACGCCTCAGCACGGTGCCTGGCACAAGGCAGTCACTCAGAAAACATTTAATCAAACTAATTAATGAACTAATAAACATGGGAGTGATAAAGAGAGTAGAGTCAAGGAATCTAGATAGAAAGTGATATAATCAGGGATATAACATGAAGGTAAGGTTTTTGGGGAGAAGACAGTGAATTGGGTTTGGAGTTTTCATTGAACTTGAGGTGTTTGCAGGAATCACTGACCACCCATTCTCTCCCTGAGGGCAGATGTCTGTAGATACTAGGTAGAAGGCTTCCTTTACAGCCAGAAGCTATCTAGATCCCTCCCAGTCAAACTCAACTCATAAAACACCGCTAAGAGAGAAAGTGTCCCCATCTATTAGTCTAAGGACCAGCTCAGGTGGTGATAGGGATAGGTAAAGAAGATAAGCAAGGATAACCTGCTAATATGCATTTATTTGTGCAGAACAGCAATGCCATCAGGTTGACAGAAGAAACAAAAGGTTTGCAGTAATGCAGAAATACTCAAACATGCCTACATATTTATACAAAACTAAACCAGCCTCATTTCCTTGTTTCTTTTTTGATTCTACTTAGATACTCCCTTGGGCAGGTCTATGCTAACCCTGGGCTGTTGCTTTTTTGTCACAAATAAAGTTAAGATAGAAATACAAGACCAGAACAAGGAGGAAATAGGAAATGAAACAAAGACTAGAGAATCATTAATGGATTCCACAAGACATGGCAGATGATAGATAGATAGATAGATAGATAGATAGATAGATAGATGATAGATAACATGTTGGCTGATGTGCTAGGGTTGGATGACACTACGGGAGAATGAAAGCATAAAGGGGCAATAGATTATACTTTTAGAAATAGGAAAGTAATAAAGCAGACATAGCATTCCTTTTGGAAACTTTAAAAGGAATTACACAAATCAAAATGTGGGACACGGGATTAGAAGAAGGTCCAGAAAGTGACAAGGATGGGTGAGTTTATTGAGGCTTAACTTTTGGGGGCCTACTAGCAATGGAATGATCAATCCAGGGCCGAGTGGTCCCTCTCTGGAACGGGTCAGCTCCATTCCACTTCAAGCCTAAGGGAATTTGCATCCCCTGACCAGCTCTCTTAAGGGAGACCAAGCAAAAATTCCTAATCAATGCATAGAACTCAGATTCCTGGGAAAAGAGCTCAAAGAGCATAACCTTAGTAATGATAAACCCAAAGCACATCTTTCTATATGGAGAATCAATCATTCAATCATTATATAGTTAGAGGAAAACAGGAAACTTGAAAGAGGCAAGTAGGCTGAGAAGAGAAAGGTGGTGAGTTGAGTTTCTGACCCATTAGAACCCACTGGGTTAAGGTGATTGAAAGGTTTCTGTGCAGAGATGCCCTAAGGCCAACCTGCACAGCCACTGCTCAAGAGCTGAGAGAAGAGGCTTGGCAATGCTCATCTGGGAGTCAGTTACAGGGAGGTGGGAGGCGATGCACTGATGTTCTCCATGGAGAGGGGATGGAGGGGAAGGTTAAGTACTAAATAATGGGGGATATGGAAGAGTTGGAAAAAAGAGAAAGGAACAGGTGAAAAGAGAAGGAGGGATGGCCATTCTTTCTCTTTGCTCCTTTCCCTTCCTCTCTCTTCCCCTCCATATTAGAGAGCAGATGTCTTGCTCATTCCC